GAGAAGCGCATGTTATAAAATTTACAATAACGACAACAATTCCTCGAATTTTTTGTAAACTTGGCAAAACTTGGCAAAAGACCTAAAGAATATTTAAATAAGACAACTAAAATTGCCTAAATAACCTTCAAAGTACAGACTAAGTACGATAAATCACTACGAACACATACCGTATACACCCCCCGGAAAGTTTACTGTATGACTGACTGAATGAATGAATGAATGACTGACTGACTGAATGACTGACTGTTTCGTTTGAATTTCCCCCCAGTCATCACAATACTGTGAAGTTTCGAAGAAACTTCACACTAAAAAACGATAATGGAAAAAACAAACTGTGGCATTTGGCTACATTTTAGTTCAGTAGTTACCCTTTAATTGCAATCATGCTTTTAATTCATTTTGGGAGATAGAAAATCGAGGGAGGGTATTAAAATACGTCTTGCTACAATTTCTGATTCGTGAAGAGTTAATTTATAAAACTTATACAACTCTATACATCATTTTCCATGTTCTGCAAACACGAAATTTAATTGTGGACTCAACTTTTAATATATAACTTTAATTAAAAATATAGTAATCTTTTCCACAAATCCATGCGTTGTAATAAACATACTAAACATTTTTGTTCAAAATATTATAACTTTTACAAAATGCAACAAGTATATAGAATATTATAATTCTGATGTCTATTGAAATCATGCACTATATATATTAAACGTACATGCATACATGGATGTCCAACATTGTAAAATATTAATTATAACATTGTAAAAGTAATATTATATGCTGAGAATTTTATACTTTAGTTGTATGCCGACAGGCAATGTTTATTGAATGTTAATTCTCATTTTATTGCACGCAATATGTGCGCTATAATATTTTGTTTTACTTATATATGCATAGAGAGAAAGACAAATTATAAAACACAATTTAATTGCACCGTACATCAGTTTTAACAGTCTTAATATGACAACATGTTATGGTTGGTGAACAATAGACCTCCACGCATGAATGCATGTATGAAATGTGAAATATATCTATATGTTCATTCAAGCTGGCTAAGTGGCTATACCGTGAGAAGAAAAAAGGAATAATTATCACCTATACAGTACATAGGTAGTGTTAAAATGTCACAACTTCAAGTTAATTTTGGAAAAACACTTTGGTGTCCGCGGTCTTTGAAATTTTTCTTCCTGAAACCAGATCGTTCTATTTTTGTACGTCTGCACTTTTGGTTGTTGATTTTTCTCAATTTCCAAACTTTTGGACATGCAATCGACTTTTGCTATGATGGCTCTAAGGAAGGTAGGCTAAGTTTTGACGATCTGCGATTAATTTTATCTTTATATAAGGCCGGCGCTACATACACCTGAGATGGAATATCAGAGTTTTGAGGGGAAAGTATATAGAACTATGCATGGGCACCTCAAACAGTAAAGGTTGTTTTCTTCAACTGTATCGTGACGCATATACACCGCATCTGGTGAATATCATCAGTTCGCCAATATCATTGACGAAACAAAGGAATATACGCTAGAAATTGTACAGCTATAAGGCCATATAGCTTTTCCCATCAGTTGTTGGATAACGGATTTTGGTGGGATGGGTGCCATGTCTTAGTGAGAATTCTAGAATTAGGGAGTGGTTCTAAATTTTAAGGGTGTGTATATATATGGCAATTGCTCAGATTATAGTCATGCAGAAGTATGATTTCAGTTATGCCCGCCAACACTATCGCCCGTATTCTAAAAGCTCACTCACACTCAACGAGTGGAGGTTCAATCTGTGCTTCTCTTGAGTGTCAATGCTGTTTTTGAATAGCTGGAGGATGACTATATATAGTCACCGAGTAAGGTATACACTAGCCCTCCAGCTATTCAAAAACATCATTAACACTAAAGAGAAGCTCAGATTGAACCGCCACTCATTGAGTGTGAGTGCACTTTTAGAATACGGGCGTATGTGTGTGGTTAATTGTTCTATCCTTTACAACCAAATACAAAACGAGGAGCATGCGCTCATACCGTCATTGACATTACAATAAGCAATTTTAGGAACTCTAATTTGGGGGTATTCAAAGCCATTTTAACACCATGCAGTGTCAGTGATTCCCATTACCTATGTCAATCTAAACATAAACATAAACACATCATGGGGCATTAGAACTATCGCGAAAATTCAAGTTCTTACCGCACTTCCGATTTTGAAAAAACGTGAGTTTTGAAAAATTCTTGATACAGATATACTACAATTAGTAATTTTTTCGAAACTTGGTAGCTGCAATAATTCACGTTTTTTTGTGAATTCTACATCAGACATTTTTGCGAAACAATGAATGGGAGCAATGTCTGTTGTAAGTGGTAACACTCTATTTTACGAATCTATACACGAACCCGGATAAATAACGAAGTCGTTTTCGCTTTCCCTTTTTTACATTTTTGACCCCGGCAACGCCGCTTTGTAGCGGAGACTCTGACTCTGGGTGGGCGGGCGCCCGGCGAAAAGAGAAAGAATAAAACACGACTGTGGCACGTACATTACAAAGTTGAAGAATAGAGGATTATAACTTTAATGTTCATTTCTCGCCTAGCTTTAAATAACGAAGTCGTTTTCGCTATAGTTAACCTTTTTTATATTTTTGACTCCGGCAACACGACCTTGCAGTTAAGACCCTGAGTCTGGGCCGGTGGGAGGCGCCCGGCGAAAAGAGAAAAATAAAACACGATGTAGCATGTACACTACAAAGTTGAAGAATAGATGGTTTCTCACCTAGCTTTAGAAAACACACGACCTGGGAAATCCGATGTTCAACCAAAACAAATTAAATGCAATCTTTAACCCTTTCAGGTCATCATTTGGACAGTGAAGTGATCAAATTTGTTCACGCCCAGTCTGGAGTGGATTGTATCCTACAGTGTATGTTTCAAGATAAATCATGCAGATCTGTAAACTTCAGAAAAACCTGCGCAGTTAACAATGGTACTGAAAATTGTCAGTTACTTCATGACGTTGCTTCAGAAAATCCAGAACTTTTACACGAAGATGAACGCTTTGATCATCTCACATTACTGCAACCCAACAGGGTGAGTACGAGTGAAACTTGATCGAATGTTTGTTTTTCACTTGAATCAAAACATGCCAATGCCATCAAAGACATTAATGCTAAGTAAGTGGGGTTTTGCCAAACATCCTTATACTTGTATTAGGCAAATGAGACCATACAACCATCGTTTGTTGATTGGGCGTCTATATTGATAAACACCTAACTAAGGTGGGGCCAGCAAATAAATCACATGCATAAAAAGCAAAGTATCTAAAAACATTGGCAATTTGGCATTCGTAAGTATGATATTACGTTAACCTACAGACGTTGAAACAACTCTACTATTCTCTAAAGCCGTGTTTACACTACGAGCCTAAGCCTGGCCTGGGCCTACCTTTGGACTAGATTTTTGTAGTGTAAACGCATTTCGGCCTGGCCTGGGTCAAGAAATCTGGAACATCTGTTCTGATAGGCTTAACTACGGAATAATGAGCGGGGGAAACACCCGTACATTACCAACCTATCCAAAATTCGCACTGCTCAAAATAAATGTGTACGAAACATTTTCTTTGCACATAAAAGAGAAAATATGCTAGTACCTACCTCAGTCTATTAGAAATACTCAACGTTGACAAAGTTTTTAAATTGAAAATTGCAATTATCACATATAAAATCCTTAACAACTTAATACCGTCAGTTTTTGCAAACTCCAACAAGATTCGCAGTAAATCAAAAGTATTGTTATTTAATTATTATTATTATACATTTAATATGTATTCTCGTTTCTAATTGGTCAGAAAGCACCGGCTAATTTTCAGTATTTAGCATTTATTACGTATTTTCCGCTGATGACGTCATCAGCGTCCAATAATTGTTTTTTTGGATCGAACTTGCATCCAAAAAAAAAATTATTGGACTCTCTCGTGCCCAAACCATTGCGCGGCCAAAAGCTTGAACCTATAAGCGCGCGACTAAAAAAAACAAACAAACAATGGCCTACAGCAGATTTGCTTCGCTGAATGAGAGTGAACTCTCCAAATTATTAGCAGATAAGGATAGTGAAAGCACGAAAAAAGCCACAAAAGGGTAAATGGAAGTAGAAATAGAATATTTAGCTGACCTTTGACTTTGTGCAAGGTGTTTGATACTCAAATTGTACTTTTCCTACCTCATGAACAGGAATCGTTTTATACCTTTCTCATGTCTTTAAATGTATAATAAAACAATTATTGGATTCGGCTTTCGCAACAGTCGAGTCGAATATGAGCTGATAGCCGATGAGGCGCGTAGCGCCCAATCGGCTATCGCTCATATTCGACGAGAGTGAGTGGAATAACTGTTTTATTATATACACAAGGTCTGAATTCACAGACTTTGCTTTTTTCGAATATTTTCAATATTTTTCTATTTTGTTTTTGTTTTTATCTTCGCTCTTTCGGCCGATTATTTTTTTCAAAAATATATATTTTTAACCATTTCAAATATTAAAAATTTATTTGCTAACCTGAAAACAATTTGTGGGAGTTTTTTCATTGTGTGTGTTAATCCTGTGAAGGCTATAAAAAGCGACAACTTGCCGTTTTCTCGTTTGCAAAACATCGTAAATTCAGTTTGGCCGCCATTTTGTTTTTCTCTACTAGCAGGATATGAGCTAATATCCTGCTAGTAGAGAACCAATCAGATTGCAGAATACCTCATATCCAGACCTTGTGTATATAATAACAAGAATTATTCAGACCTCGGTCTATGTTATCCGCCTCAGCTTCGCTTCGGCAGATAACATTGATCTCGGTCCGAATAATTCTTGTTATTATACACTCACGCGCACTTAACCAATCACGAGTGCTTATTAGGGTCACGTGCCGATCCAATATTTTACGATATTGGACAGGAACCTATTGGACAGTGTTTGCCGCCATTAGTCATTAGCCGCCAGGGTCCAGAGCATTTGCTTATGGAACCAGACCAAAAGAAGCCACGTTTTCTCCTAAAGAAAACGGAAAATGAACTCAATGAACTTCTCGAGAACAAAGAATCTTCGAACACAAAGAAAGCAACAAAATCCGCAGCAAACGTTTTCAGAAACTACTGCACTGAACGTGGAAAAGAGTCAAATTTCGAGAGCTTTTCAACCGAAGAACTCGCCAATACTTTAAAATATTTTTACGCCGAAGCTACGAAAAAAGATGGCGAGTTCTACAAAAAGTCTTCTTTGAACTGTATTCGTGAGGGTCTTGCCAGATATCTTAAAAAAGAACGAAAGATTAACATCATTGAAGAGCCGGAATTTGATTCTGCGAACGAAGTTTTTCGTGCTCAGCTGGTTGAGTTAAAAAGGCAGGGGAAAGGAGGGACTGAACATAAAGAGCCAGTTGAAGAAAAGGATCTAAAAAAACTTTACAGTAATTGTGATGTATTAACACCGAAAGGACTTCAACAAAAAGTCTGGTTAGATATCATGATTTACCTTATTCGTCGTGGGAGAGAAAATCTACGCCAAATGACAAAAACAACTTTCGCTGTTAAAGTTGATGCAGCCGGCAATCGTTATGTTACACAAACTGTGGACGAAATGGACAAAAATCATCGTGAAAATTGTGATAGAAATGCTACAATTGGCGAAGGAAGGATGTATGAAAACCCTCAATCTATTCACTGTCCTGTTAAAACTTTTGAAATGTACACTTCGAAACTTCATCCTGACCTTGACGCCCTTTGGCAAAGACCGCGCGAAGGTCACTTGACCGAGAACGACACAATATGGTATTGCAACAGTCCTGTCGGCGAAAAAAAGCTTGGAAACATGATGAAGGATATGTCAGCTGAGTACAAGCTAAGTAAACTCTATACTAATCATTGTATCAGGTCTACTGCCATTCAAATTTTAAACTTGGCCGGCTATAATGACCGAGAAATAATGAAAATAAGCGGCCACAAAAGTGTAACAAGTTTACAAAGTTATCATGATCGGATTACTGAGAAATGTCAACAAAGTATCTCTCAAACCATTAGCAATGCCGTAACTAAAGTCGGAGCACAAGAAGCTACAACACCTATAGATAAGAGCATGGAACACGTCAATAAATCGCCAATTTCTCCAGTCTCGTCGGTTTTCCTGAGGTCTCCGCCAGGAAGCCCGTTAACATTGAACATTCAACAATCTACAACAACGTCAACAAATCAATCAAATTCGTTTCCATTTAGCTTTAAGCCTGGACAAATGACATTTCAGAACAGTAATGTTACTTTTAATTTTCAGCATCGTTAGCCTTGTAATAAGTTTCAAAGTTTTAATCTGTTTGTTGTGATATTTTGAAATTTGTGTACACATTGAGAGTTGAATGTTTTTATATATTAATTAGTAAAAACCAGGACGAATTCGTTTTTAGTTTCTTGTTTGTTCGATATAATAAAACTCCTATTGGATTCATCTTCGCCCAATATGGCAAAATATTAAGTCTCGACTTCAATATTAGGCTCGACCTTCGGTCTCGCCCAATATTGAAGTCTCGACTTAATATTTTGCCATATTGGGCTCAGAAGAATCCAATAAGATATAATATCATGCTCAGCCTCATCCAATAATTGCTTATTATTATTATTATTATTATTATTATTATTATTATTATTATTATTATTATTATTATTATTAAAAGCGCGCACAAATTACGGCAAACATGCACACTTTTCTTTCTTCCTCATCCAACATATTTGGGAAACGATAGACCTACATATTAAACAGTCGACTTCAGTTAGGATAAAAATAATTTGGATTTAAATATTCTAAGTCAAACGTATAGACCCTGATCCAGCCGCACAATTCTGTAAACAATACATAAAACAACAAATGGGAAACGGCGGTCAACTCGAAAGCTTCTCAGCTACTTTGGCCACTGTACACGATATAATCACTATAATCAACTATATCTATTGTAAAACGTGTGCAACTATCCGTTTCCGGCTGATAATTTCAGCAAAAATAGAACGAAAGTTATTCCGAATAAGAAGTGCATAATATTAACACAAAATTGTGTGTTAATATTATGCACTCCTTATTCGGAATAACTTTTGTTTTATGTGTGCAACTATATCTTTTTCTAAAACGTATGAAATAAATTTAATCTTGTGGGTAGCGCTACCCGGCCTTCGTTATTCAACCGGCCCCTGAACACGTCTCTGAATATTGTCAAGCAAATTTTAGACGGTGAAATATGCGTCACAAATTTCAAGAAAATCAACGACAGTTTCTGTAATGCTATTTTTTTAGCTAAAAGAGTTAAAAAACAGAAACAGAGACGAAAACATTTACCTCAATTATTTTATAGTTGAATCGGTTTTCTTTGATGTACCGCGCGGGCTGTTTATAGCACTAAATTATGAAAATGGAACTTTCCTTTTCACGGAATAAGCTGTATACTCACGTTAAAATCTCAATAAAATACTGTTTTTCACCTCTGGATAAACACCATCGCCACGTTGTGATATTTTCACAGTCTCCCTCGCTTGTTAGGCCTTACAGTAAGACACACCCCTTGAAGTTTAATGCGTATACATGTAATCTACATATGAGCCACCCAGGGGGGGGGGAGGAAGGTTCATTTCCCCGGGCTTCAGACTAAGCGTGACCCTAAATAAGGCCCGTTTCAGACGGCGTACTCTTCATGTGCCGAACTTAATTGTATTAGATGCGACACAAGAACGGCAGTGATTCAAACGGCGTACCAAATACTATATTAATGACAAGGTTGGGGCGCATTCGCCAGCGAAACCTCAATAAAATTCAAAATAAATAAGTTTATTTTTAGACTAAAGTTTAATTAAGTTTGGCACATGAGTGGAGCGGCGTATGAATCAATGTCGCTCCAACGTCGCATAATGCGACAAGCTCTGCCGAACTTGTGTCGAACTTTTCCGCTCAAAATTCTGCTGTACTTAATTGATTCATACGTCGCTCTTCTGCCGTACCTAATTCATCAATTAAGTTCGGCACATGAGAAGTACGCCGTCTGAAACGGGCCTAACAGTCTTGTGAATAAACTACGTCAAATCGTCTCTCCATTCCTGTTTGCCAGGAAAGGGGGCCCGGATTGCGAGTTATGCATAAGGCCTAGAGCAGTTCTCTTTAGAGATACATGTGGAAGAGCGATTCATTATACTGTAGTTCAAAACCTTTTTTTACATATTTTCTATATCATTCTTGGTTTAAAAGATATTACCCTTCATTTCAAACAAAATCGTTATACATTCCGCCATCTTGCATATGCATATCCATCGTCGGATATGCGTGACATCATCGGATATGCGTATTTCGTATCTTTAAAAATTCTCAGTCCATTTTAATGCTATATATCCTATAGCATAATATAATAATAAATTTTCCACTAATAATATGTTTTATTTTTTAAATGTCTACCCTGAATGTGCATGACGTCATTTAATTAGATCTAATTATAAACAAGAGGATGGATGGCAACCTCGTTCCCAGGCTCTTTGCTCTTGGGAAGCAAAGACCCTGGTCGGGGCTGGTCACGTGACCCATAGAAAATTGATAACCTAAGAGGGGGATGGAAAAGTATCAAATTACATGTTTCCACTTCCGCACCTCACACTTCGATTGCAAGGAGTGACCGTGCTATACAATCATCTTTGAGAATCATATATACTTCAAAATACTTGCTAAATTGGTTTCTGTTTGCTTTTAAATTATGCAAACATGCTAAACTGTAGATTCTTATAGCAACAAACAAGTCAGAAAATCAAGCAACGAAAACGTCTGATCGTATATGCTTGGAAATATTTGCCCTTTTATTGTCTCAGTGTCTCGGGCTTCGGGCGCAGTTTCATTTCACGCGTACGTTTCTGTATCTGGCTCTGGTTCAGATACGTATAATATTCTTATAATGTACCATTGAATTGTTGTCATATGGAAACAGTATAAATTTTGTTAAATAGAGGTTTCAAAAGCGACTGTGTAGGTCGTAGGCGCTGCGCCTTGCTGGTCCTACAGCAAACGTTACACATTTGGACACTAGCCAAATAGACATTGAATGTCCATTCTATTGATTCTAAGGGACCGGTCATTATTTATGGCGGGGGGTGGCACCGAAGAGAAATGTTTTTCGTAGCAAAAATTTTGCTGACCCAACCATTAAAAAGTAAACAAAATTGATTACCCAACCTCAAATATCAATTAAAAAATAAATACCCACCCCTGGCCAAAAAATTTACAAAAGGTACTATTCAGTTGTCACATATGTCCTTTACCACTTCTGTGACATAAGTTTGATAATGGATTGTGAAATTTTCTGCAGTCTGAAGTTTCATGTTGTCTGCACATGTAGCTACTTTCTTTGGAGATCCCATCGGAAATTGATCAAGATAATGACTCTGATTGATATATACTTTTCGTTGTTTCTTTACACATTTAGTAAATCTTAGTATAACACCAAGTTCATCAATTGCTGCTATTTTGCTAGCAAATCCATGTATAATAAGCCCGGGTGTTTTGCAATCAAAAGTGATGCAACCTGGATAGTGGAATAAGTTGATTACTGTAGGCACAATTTTTGGCCACTTAATAGTCAAAGGTCATGCATAAATAAGAACAGTCTTTAATATTACCGCCTTACGGAGACTTTATATTAATTGTGCTACTCGAGGATCTAGAAGGTCCTAGAAGAACCATAGGTCCCATACTCGACTAGCAACATAATCAAGTTAGTTATGTTAATTCATTATATATATAGGGGAGCGATTGCAGAATACCCGTCCATTTTTTAAGCTATGCCTTTCAAACATCGTGGATACGATGTTTTAATCAGCTGACCAATTACATCAGGTTTTATTTTGAGAAGGAAGCATACAGTTCTAGTTTAGCATTCAAGATCAAATTCTCATGGTATATAGGTAGCTGTATATTTTAGTGGATACGCGGATACGTGGATACGCAGTGAGTTAGTTATTTTGAGAACGAGGCATACAGTTCTAGTTTAGCATTAATAGATCAAATTCTCATGTTATACAGATAGCTATATATTTTAGTGGATACGCGGATACGTAGATACGCAGTGAGTTAGTTATTTTGAGAACGAGGCATACAGTGAGTTTAGCATTAATAGATCAAATTCTCATGCTATATTGGTAGCTACATATTTTAGTGGATACGCGGATACGTGGATACGCAGTCGACGAGTTATTTTGAGAACGAGGCATACAGTTAGTTTAGCATTAATAAATCAAATTCTCATGTTATAGAGATAGCTGTATATTTTAGTGGATACGCGGATACGTGGATACGCAGTCGACGAGTTATTTTGAGAACGAGGCATACAGTTAGTTTAACATTAATAAATCAAATTCTCATGTTATATAGATAGCTGTATATTTTAGTGGATACGCGGATACGTGGATACGCAGTGAGTTAGTTATTTTGAGAACGAGGCATACAGTTAGTTTAGCATTAATAGATCAAATTCTCATGCTATATTGGTAGCTACATATTTTAGTGGATACGCGGATACGTGGATACGCAGTGAGTTAGTTATTTTGAGAACGAGGCATACATTCAGTTTAGCATTAATAGATCAAATTCTCATGCTATATTGGTAGCTACATATTTTAGTGGATACGCGGATACGTGGATACGCAGTCGACGAGTTATTTTGAGAACGAGGCATACAGTTAGTTTAGCATTAATAAATCAAATTCTCATGTTATAGAGATAGCTGTATATTTTAGTGGATACGCGGATACGTGGATACGCAGTCGACGAGTTATTTTGAGAACGAGGCATACAGTTAGTTTAACATTAATAAATCAAATTCTCATGTTATATAGATAGCTGTATATTTTAGTGGATACGCGGATACGTGGATACGCAGTGAGTTAGTTATTTTGAGAACGAGGCATACAGTTATAGTTTGGCATTAATATAGATCAAATTCTCATGCTATATAGATAGCTCTATATTTTAGTGGATACGCGGATACGTGGATACACAGTCAACCAGTTATCCGCTGACCATTTTTGATCGCTTAACTATATAAAAGTATCCACGTATCCACTGAAATATATAGCTACCTGTAACATGAGAATTTGATCTATCTGAAATATTATACTATAACTGAGTACTGACCGCGTATCCGCGTATCCAGTGAAATAGTGGCTACATGA